TCTTCTCTAAAGCGTATTTTGCGTGTATGCAGGCGCTGGTGACCCCTGGCCCGACATATAATTTACGTCACATACGAAAAGCAAATATCGCGTGGAAGAGTGAGATTTATGCGTGCCTGCAAAATCTCAGCGCGCGCGCGCGCTCCTATGAAATTATTTCCTTCCTTGCTCGTTACGTTTCGGTTAATACGTTCCCTGTTAGATTATCAAGTCGGGCAAATATACGGTCGTAAATGACGCGCGCCAAGAATGCAAGGACAAAGAAGCCGAGGCGGCATCGCGAAGTGGGATTTCCTGCTCTCCGATGCCGCACATCCTTCGAGCGTGCGAGAGATTGTCGATAAACGAAGATAACACGCAGAATGATATCGTTCGGCCATCTCGCGATAAACTTGCGGCGGTTTAATCTTCTCCCAAGCCGAGTTATTAATTGAACGGCTTTTATATAAAAGGGTCCAGACGCGCTCTCTCTCTCTCTCTCTCTCTCCCTTATATGGTAACTGAGACTTCTAAGGTTTTCCCTCGAGAGAAGACTGTATTGTGGCATCTTTTATACATACAACAAGGATAAATTATAGAACTTTTATGAGAAAAATTGATCTATTTAATTAATGATTAAACCCTAATTAATAATATATTAGAGATATGTAATGTGGAAAAATGTGCGATAAAGAAAAAGCAACTTTAACTTTGTCGAACATTAAAGTGTAATACGGTATAAAAGAACGGGAGAACTATGTCTAAAATATTTCCAAGATACGAGAATTCTGAAAGTACCTGCAACTCAAGACAGAACTGGAATTCTTTTCATGGAGAAGCTCTGTTCATTTCTCTCGCGTGATTCTCTTGCCGCAGCTATCTCTTTATGACGTAAAATGGAAAATTATTTTCTCCGATGCGGCAAATGCGAGCTTTTCAGTGTTCCCTTTCGCCCACTTTTTCTCTGGTGGATGACTTTGAAGATGAATTTAATGCGACCTGGAAAATATCCCGCTTTCACTTGCACGCTTTCGAGTTTCGAAAGATTGCCCTCGGAAAAGAGTGGGAGGATGCAGCGCGGGCCCATCAGATATCGCAGAAATTTAATAATTAATTACGCACATTCTGCAACCTGCGATCTGATAATCGGCGGCATCGGTTATTAATTATTTTCACGGGTTATACTTCGTACAATTAATTTCTATAACTATGTATATCGAGCTTCTCGTAATTAGACTCTTTTTAATTATTTTGTTCGAAAGCGTAATATTATTCGTATGTATTAATTTATAACGCTCGCGCATTTCAAAATAACTTTGGCAACTATTCTCCTACGTGTAATCGATTTATGTAAAATATATAATTTATTATTTATATCTTATAAAAAATATAACATTTATAAATTATATTTTGTATAATTTATCATGTGCATGTCTTGTAAAATATATAATTCATACATAGATTATATAAAAGAGATAATTTTATACACTTGCAACTCGAAAACTGTCGATGCGTCGACATTAAGAACAAGCGCGATAGTCTCTTCTGTCCGAACACCGGTTTTATTCGAAGTCGGGAGAAAGCGAACGACGGTCAAGCGTCCCGTATATTCGGACGTGCAAACGTAACGCGAACGTAATTATCTCATTATTGCGTAAACGGATATTTTTCGAAGGACGCGACGAACCGTAAAACTCGGAACGCGAAACTGACGATGCAATACGATGCGATGCGATGCGCGATGTCGAGATGGCGATGATCGTAAATTGCATACACTGTGAACGATGCACTTCTGGCAAAAATGCCGTGGGGTTCGGTTACAGCGGCCGCGCGTTAAAAAAAGGACGACACGAGCGGTTAGACGAAGGAACCCGAACGAGCCAGGGTCAATAACATACGTTTTGAGACTTCGGCTTCCTTTTTCTTCGCGAGATAATTCGAGGGCGGGCACGCAGCCTCCGGGCGAAGAATGCTCTTTCGTGCCGACGACGCGTTGCATATATCGTGCCCCTCGCATCCGCGACGAGATACAATGACATTCAACTGCGTACCGTGACACGAGTAATTGCCCTCTCAATTATTGAAGAACGTACCTGTGTGTAGCAGTAGACGCAAAAGGAGTAACACGTTCGTTACTATAGCGCAATTATTTACGATCGGTCTTCGCGGAGAAAAGGGAGATATGAATTAAAGATATGACATTAAAGTATTGTATATACCTTGTATCTACCTCGCATAAACAGACAAATCGCTATATTTTATCTCATACTAGTGGCAGTTATCTGAAATAATGACTTATGTAGCTTTCCGCGAATCATATAAAATTATATTTATGTAAATAATGTAAATAGAGACACTATTGTATAAGAAAAGAATATAATTATTACAAAATAATAAAAGAAATTTTTTAGCAAAAAGAATTGACAAAAAAATTTTTTTTTTTTACTTTCGATATGAAATTTAAGAATACTCTTTTTCACATATTTATTTAAATGTCAAATTCTTGTAATTATTAATATTTAATTTCGTTGAAAATATTCATTTTGTGTTTTTAAACTTGTCTACACTCTATATTTTTCCTTTTCCTTTTTTTTTCACTCTCAAAGCATAGTGAATCTTTCTTTCAATTGCAAGAATTTTTATGTATTGTTTGTGCATATGGTCCTTAATAAAGGAGATGACTCGGGACTGTAATTGTACCCTTCTGCTTGTCTTCTAAGAAATGAGAATTGAACATCTTTCAGCATTAGAGAAACGAACGGATCTCGTAAACAATTACTATACAATTAATAGACGTTGCAGGAGTCTTGCTGAGTCAGGGAATACGATTGTAACGTCGATATTCATACTATTTCTCGCGTTTTGCGAGAGTGACGTGGCTGCATTGTTCTTTGAGGACGTGACTTCCTCGTGCCTTTGTAACTTCACTTATGCCGCACCTCTCTCACACGTATGCTGCGCTTCACATGCGATACCATTCGACGTCGCTTTCATTTGCGATTCTTGTTACGTCGCAAAAGGTAAAGGAATTGTAGATAACCATCTAAATTTTATATCTTGTCCTACATCTCCTCGTCCTTCGTTTAGTTAGTCGTGATGCGAATTCTTGAATTCATTACATAGGCTGTTTTAATCTGAGTCCGGACTGAGAGATGAACATTCTCTATGTGAAATATACTCGATATGATATAATCTACGTTTCAAAAAATAAATTCTGAGCAACAATAATAATAAATATATGATTTATTAATTAGTGTAATTAAATTTAATGCAGGTAATAACTAATTTCTACAGAATAATAGTTAATTAAGTTTTTTAAGAAACATTAAAAAAAAAACATTCAGAAAAACATCATTCCCCTTCACACGCTGCTAGAAAATTTGTAAAAATATAAAAGCCACATTTTTCGCTTTACAGCATGATTCATCGTATCTAATTATCCCCATCGTTTCTGATAGTAATTAACCGTGCTCATTAAGAGATAGCGTACTTTATTGGAGTATCTTTATTAGCAGCTATACTTATCGTAAGTTATATCGAAAGAGAGCGCGCAAAAAAAAAGAGAAAAATTTCTGAATAAACACCTACAAAAAACCATGCTTATTGTATGCAGATGTTAATATTGATATACGATATTGAAGAATTGATATCATTATAATTTTGTAGAAAATTGAGATGTGTGTTTATTTTATAATTATTATCGCTTATAATTAATTTCAAATTAACTGTATTATTGAAGTGATCTTTTATCGCCTTTTAATATGCAACGATTATTTGTTCATTCTTTGCATCTGTTATGAAATAATTTCTCAATGATAAAATTAATGTAATGATTTTTTACTTACTCTCTACTCCGTGCTTATTAAACTTTCTTTTTCAAAAAAGAAAACGATTATCTTCCTCTCCATGATCTTCCCATGGAAAAATGTAAAAAAAGATGCAAAATATTTTAAATTCATAAATAAATACGTTTCCAGATAACGGGTGGAGAGAAAGCACAGGCTAACGTTACTTGCTCGTTATATCTTATTCCTTGGCCCTTATATCTCTCGCCGCGCGTCCCAGCCCTTATTTATCGAAAGACACGTCGCCGACAACCGAAAGTCCCCGATCGACAATCCGACAGTGAGAGGAACGATCCTGTTTCTGCGGCTCGCCGGGACTGGGTGTGTGCGCTCGGGGAATGCGTTGAAACATCGCGGCCACGAGTGCGGTCGGGATTAAATCTTGATGCATTGCCGTTATCCACGCGTGAATTTTTACGCTCGTGCATTAAAGCCCGGGCGAAAAAATTATCAATTTATTGCGCGCGCGGCGTCGATACGCGATAGGCGCAACCCTCCCGGCGAATTATTAATTGCCGGCCCGATCGCAATTGTTGTACCAAACGAGTTCCCGCGTCCGCGTAGTTGTTTGCGTTGTATAACCGCATTTATCGCGATCTGGCCGCCGTGATGTCGTTAGGTGGTATATCTTAAAAATACAACTATGCGTTCGCGCGACCGCTTTTGCAATTATTCACGAGTAAAATTTACATTTTTATGTCAGCTGTTTCTTTCGCGTTTTCTACAAAAATCTAAAATTTTCTGAAAAAAAATAGTCTCAAGATTAATACAAAAAATTGTAACAAGCGATTAGAAATCATTTGCATTTCTCGCGATATTTTCACATGCCGTCGATTTATGTCGTAGCTTCGCGCGGGATCGGTATGTACATATTAATCCGACCGACTCGCTGATAAGCAACTAATTTATTTCCTATTGTTTGCGTTGCGATTACGTGATGTCAGCCTGTTATTTTAAGCTTGTCCATTCATGCCTCGCATTTTTATGAAAGATCGCCGCGCGGATAGAAGTTGAACGACGGAAGTTGCGGTACCGCATATCCAAGTCAAGCTGTTTAGCCGTTGGACAATAATTGGCGCGCGCGCACGATATTTATAATGGAATATCCTTCAGATGCGGAGGATAAGAGTCCAGTTTAACAGGCGGAACTGATGTTTCCGCGCCGAACGTAGCGCGCCGTTACATCGACGCTCCAGCTTTATGTAACCGTGCATAATGCACATTTTATTGTACCGAATTATTTATTCGCTATTGAGCGAATGTTTATCGTGCGTGATATGGATTTTGCAGGAAGTGAGCACGTATTCCTACGTTTTGCCAATTAAATATCATATAGTGGGTCGCGAATTCCGAGTGCGTTGTATGCTTTGATCATTCCATGTTGCAAGCTATTGTTGCTTTCGAAGCGCGTTGGCGTATTAATATTAATGCGAATATCGATTTCAGATTTTATTTCACATACCTTGCTGCATCCTACGATCCTTTTCGAGTTAAGTAATCGAGGATATCTGAGAGAATCTAAGATTTTTAGATCTTTAGATTATAAAACATCAATGTGTACATTTCATATAAATCATATTTAATAATTTGATTATTAATTATTAAAATTAATAATTATTATTATTTATTCGTGACATTTCTCGAATTGATAAATATGATTTATAAGTAAAGTGTAATTTGTAATAGAAAGATAAAATACTTTGCGCGCAATAATCTGATTTGTATTAATCTCGATTGCCCGATTCTCTACGACTGTATTACAGTCTTCTAAATATTCGCCGGTATAAGCTACACCCGCGATGTTAATACGAGCTGAAAGATATTTCTTTATATAAACGCGCGTGCTACGCACTTCGGGACATCGCAAACCGTCGTACAATTTTCTGCCAGACGAACGAGCATCGTTCGAGCAACAACGCGAGTGCTATTAAATTATACGCGCATAATGTCATACGTTGCCAGACCGCCACGGGATACGACTCTCGCAAGGCCTTGCCCAACGGCGACCACGATCCTCTCTCGTCCGCTATCGTATACCTGTCATCGCACACGTAGACAAAGCATCCGCCGCTAATCGAGGACCGCTAAGCCCCCTTTCTTCTTCGGCGAACAGTTCGCCCGCGAACGAGAGACTAACGACTGCTGCGAGATCCTCTTCCTCGAATAACGTCGGAGCATTTAGGACTCGTTTGCGTCCTTGCCGAACGCCTACGTGCGGATCTTTGTCTTACAGGCTTCGGGCGAGATTGCCAGAGATAGCAAAATTGTACCACTTTTGGCACATTATGCGAGAAGTATGTTGAGAAGGATATTGATTTCGCCAAAGGCTCCTGAATTCTATGTCATGCAGATTTTAAAATCGTCCTTAGATCTATAATTTCCGACAGAATTTGAAACAGGATTATATTTATAATTTTAGATGTGTAATATAAAATATATTCAAAGAATTAAAATACACACATATATAAAGTACTAGAAATTAAAATATGTACGAAATTATAAATTGATTTTTGTCCTGAATTTTGTCGTAAATTATAAATCATCTTAGATCATTTCAATCACAGAAAACTTTAGAGAGATAATTTTCTTCAAAAATATTGTATCGCATTTATGAATTTTTAATAGTATGAGAGTTTTTTAATTAATAATAATTTGATAATAATAAGACTTTGTTCCTAGTTCCTAGACAGATGCTGCTTTCAGATTCAACTTCCATTGAATACTCTTGTAATTGTCGATTCCACGCCGCAAAATCGTTATATATTTCCTAGTTTGTTATTCTGAGCATAATTCTATAAAAATATCCAATGCATATAACAAATAATTGACACAATAAATCATTTTTAACTACATCTGTAAAAATAAATATGGAATTAATGGTGTCGTTGCCTAGTAGTCATATCCATTCGAAGATGTTATATTAACCCAAGATTAATATCAAGATCGTGTCATGGATACGCGTCTCATCGCGCGTATTCCTGACAGTACAAACGCGCGTTATCCGCGTTACGGTGCGGTCCGGCTGCGTGAAATTGAAAGTTAGCGTGGGCCGATAGCTACTGCCCAGACCGGTCCAAGTTTGCTCGTACATTAAGGCCGTGATCCGGCCTGAGGAAATATCATTGGTCTGCGTTCGTCGAGTGCTCCTTAGCGGGATAGTGACGGGGGTGGAGATCGCTCCGAGTCTCACACGGCCCGATATCGCGCGAAACAGGCCTGGCCGTTCACAAAGAATGTAGACACTCGTTTCGTTTCGTTTCACGGTTCGATATAATGCCACGAGATAAGAGGAACGTAATTCGCGTATTTTTGCAATTTTCGCAAAAAACGCAGTACTGGTTCTAAATGTCTCGTTATATACGAGCGGAATTTCACGACGGTAAAAAAAAGCGACAGGCAAATTCCGACAGGTTTTATGTACTTCCGTAACGGGGAGTACGGGCCACTGAAGTTCGTTGGCGCAACAAATTCTTACGTTCAGATTAACACATTAAGAGACCTGGTTGGTTCTCGATCCGAGACTGTCTTTCTCCATCGGTGTTGTACGACCGTGATCTAGAATGGGACAGGCCAATCGTCAAGCGAAGTTAGCTAGCCGATGCTGTTATAGCGCAACACTGACCCTGATTTAAATATTTATTAAGGCTGGAGTTTTTCGAAGCGTCGATGGTTTCTCGCGGACGCGAAACGTAGAGAGATGCATAGAAGATTCCAAGACCGAAGAGGGCTCCTCTTGTTTTAAAACGCGATAATAGGCGTCGTTCGGGATTCCGGAGTCTAATTCTCGTTTCCGTTTGATTGCAGGTTGCCGGACAATTATTGGACACGGAGTTCCAGCCGACGGTGACGGCAACATGCAAGGGCGGCTACATGACGATACGCGTCAATCTCAATCAGAGTTTCGTAGGCGCGGTCCATGCTCGGGATCATCGAACCCCGCAGTGCATGGTATCCGGCAACGGCACCACGCATGCCACCCTGGGCATCAACCTATTCGCGTCGCAGGACAGTCCCGAGTACTGCGGAGTCCTCGTGAACAACGTAAGGCTTCTATGATTATGGAAATCGCTATACGCCAAGGGCGGTCGAATTATGGGACACGAAGAGCAGCATCGGCTGCTCCTTAAAATTCCTGAAAAATCAACCGTATGAATTGAGCGAGAAATAACAAGAAATCAACTCGTTACATGAGTATCTCGCTGCGTGTAAACAGATATTCCGCTGCCCGAGGTGCATTCACGTTTCGCGGAGATGCATTTGGATTGAAATTAATATTCGTCTTTATTTACAAGTGTGACAAGTTTCAGAAAATTAATTGTTTTGAGAAGGTTGAGTATATGCTAATTTATCTAGCTGGCAACTCTAAACGTCTGGAGAATAACATAAAAATTGGTCATATATATGGAAATGACGATTTGCATTTGAATCCTTCGTTTTCCACCGAGATGTTTGTTCTGCAAATGTAACGACTTTGTGGTCCCGAAGATTTTTCTCAGTACAATTTTTATACATACACATATAATTGAAAATGTACAAGAAACTCTCGTATATTTATAATACTTTTGTATATAAAAATCAAAATTGACAGTATTTTTTTAATAATGAAATAATTCAGGTATTGTAAAAGCGGCTCATCAGAAATATTTTACACAATATTGTTTAATATGTTGTATCATTCTTTTTAATATTTAAATATGACAATATTACACAGCACACAGAAGAACGTTCCATTCCCATTGCTGTTAGAATACATAAAACTTTGGAGCTGGCGGACGACAAGTTTTATGTCATTACGTGCGGAAAAGCGGGCTTCAAAAATGCCAAGTAAGTTAGAATTCAATTATAAAAAAAAAAGAACAATAATAAATAACCCGTAAAATAATACCTCATAAAAAATTTTGTAATGTAATCGAGAGATTGATAATTTAAAAAAATCTGATTCTAAGTTATTTTTTGATCAATTTAAATATTTGCAATTATTTTCCGATATGCGTCCTCTCATTACTGTATGTCTCGACTTATGGCATCCGTAGCTCCCGTATAAAGCGATAGTTTCATCGCTAGCAGAAAAAAATTCTCAAAATGACGGAAGCTATGTTAGTGCTGCATTATAGATTTATGGATTCTCCATAGTACTGTCGTGAATAATCAACATGCGGTAGATTCTGTTAAACGTGCAAGAGATAGAAGTAACTCGCACCAACAGCGGGTCGACTATCACAAACAGCGCTATCTAAACGGGAAATATCATTGCTATGGCTCTTAATCAGTCATTAGCAGTCGCGCGGTTTCTAATCGTTCACTGATATTTGCCGTTCAATACCAGTCGGCCGTATATTTTCGCTTTTGCATGCTGATTATACTTAAAGATACTTCTCATTTATTAGAGTGTTGATATCTCGCTCGATCGATCGCCCGAACAGGGCTCGACACTTCCTTGTAAGACTCTAGTATTCCGCAATATTAATTTTGCTAATGATAAATTGGATTGTTTAAAAATTCCACGTAATATTTAATACAATCATTAAAAAATATTTCTTTGACTTTAAAGTATTAATAGATGCGATCGAATTAGTATTCATTTGTCATCTATCGTATAGCGGTTTCTTTAAAAGTTAAAAAATTTTATATATCAAAATGCTGACATTTTATTATACTTATATACTCAGAAGAAGGACCGTTCGAGCAACAATAGAATTTAATTAGATACCAAGAATTAGATAAACGGAGCGGTAATTAGCATGCCCATGACGGGGTGCGGTTTACCGCAAGCCATATTTTTTATTCCGTGCAAGTGCGAAATGCGGTCAATATTCAGTATACAACTGTCGTCGAAGAAGAGACTCCGCAAATGATAATTACTTTTTTGTCAGGATAACGTTATATATCCTCGAAATAAATTTTTCTGAATCAAGACGTTTGGAAAATCGAAATGTGATCTATAGATGTTCTTATTATGCATAACGTCAAATATATTGACTTTTTGACATATTTTTTGTCATACTTATTCACTCACTTTGATTGCAATTTCTATAAAGTCTGCGCGCTGTGTCATGATTCTAATAATAAACTGTACTATGAAACGCACATGAAGAAAAGTCCTTAAGTGCTCAAAACAAAACAACATTTTTTGCATAGAAATGAAACTTCGCTGGTCTCCTTGCGCTTTCTGGATGAAGGTGTCAGAGTACAAGAAGTTATATACGGTCACAACTACACTCTGCGTGCCGAGATTTCACGCCCAGACGGTTCGTATCTTATATCCTATTCCGTCGTTTTGCTTTTACGTCCAGTGTCGATACGGACAAGTCCGTTAGTAATGTTTCTTCGTGAGATCTCTCCTGTTCGAAGCACTGTATCGTTGAACATTCAATTTGCAGGAATGTACGGGATTCGAGTTAAGAATTGCTTCGCATTCAACAAGCTCAATTCCAGTGTACAGCTTATAGACGAGAAAGGGTAAGCGCATGATAATACATTTTTAAAGAATTAATAAAGATATAATTAACAAGTTTTATATTTATCGCGAACATTTAAGTGTGCTACAAATATAAATGTTAGATATTTGCATATTTGATACACGGATACGAGATGATAATATATGTGTATACATTAAATATCGTAATTTATATTAAATGTATCCACAATATTTTTTTTTTTTTTTTTTTTTTTTTTTGTTTCATTTGGAAGTTCATATCAAAGTATATAACTTTTTATGACAGTATGATAAAATAGTTTGCTCTAAGAGTTAAAATTATACTTAGCAGTAATTTCATTAAAATTCCAACCGACAAGATCTTTATTACACAAAACGAGAACTCTCAGGCTTCTCCATTTAATAAGTTTCCTTCTCTGTCGAAGTAGTTTTAGAACTTTGCAATGTAACGAGACATTTAAAAAACAAACAACTTTAAATTAATTTAATTCTACTTTTACTGTCATATCGAGAAAAGTGTGAACTTTTTTATTAATGTAATGTCGCTTCGACAATTGAAACGATATACTAATTGTGACTTTTTTTTTTTTTTTATTTCTCCAAGCTGTCCCGTGAAAGTTCGGATGACGAAATTCATATACGATCGAAGCACCGGTATAGCGGATGCCACATTGTTCTCGATGTTCCGGTTTGCCGACAGTTCAGAGGTGCATTTCCAATGCGACATCGCCGTGTGCAGAGGTAAACTGATCCGTTGAATGATTTTCCATTAGCATTTCACTACAAATGTGGGTTATAAAATGGCATTCAACTTTTACAACTCGTTGTTATGTTGTGACGCATTGTGACAGATAACTATTCCCGTTCGTTTTATGAGGAGATGCTTTTTGTAAAAGTTCCAACCTTCTTGGAATGGAAATTTTAGCAATTAACGCCACATATTAATTTAATTTCAATATTATATTAAATGTGTAAAATAGCATATAGAATATTTTAGTAGTAACATCCCTCGTTGCGATATAATGGAACAAAAATTTATGTGCTTAGGAAGTTGCGGTATCCCTGTATGCGAAGGAGACAAAGAAGAACTGATTAAGGGTGGCTCCTCTACTAACGGACAAAGTATTAGTAGCGAAGAAGGAGTACTACTTGCCGGAACAAGTGTTTTTGTTCTCCAACCAGGCGAAAAGCGAGGTAGGTAAAATGCGCTATAGACGAATTCATTATTATTACCATTTCTCATATCATTTTATATTACATTATTATCGTATTTATATTCTTGACACATTTTCATCTTTTATCTTTTGTCATAAAAAAAAATCAAGTTAATTAATTTTTGATTAATGAGTAGTAATATTCTTCCAGAATTTTTATTTTTTTCTTTAAAAAATTTTCACGTCTATATATTTATTAATATTGATTAAAAATTAAAATATAAAACATAGCATATAGTCAATCAACAATATATATGGTTGATATTACTTTTTGTCATCGAAATGGACAACTTCTTATGACAGTAAAATGAAATGCTTTGTAAGAGATATGTTCTGCAGTTAATAAAAAAAAATCTAGCAACTTATAAGCAGTATTTTTAAAAAATACAAAATAATCAATTTTAATCATTTTAATATTGAAAAGAATTGCTTTTTCTCGGCCGAAAATTTATATAAGAAGAGATTAAGAGAAGTTTATGAAGCGATTCATAAAAGCAATCGGATGTAATCCGATAAAGCTGGTTGCAGTCAGCTGTGGTTTTGACATGCCGTGACAGGAAAACTGTATAGTCATGTCGAGAATGCGTGCAGTCTGCTTCTTTCTTGATTCCCTCATTGCTCTTCTTGTGTATATTCACATTTATGTCTTTCTATCTTGCAACATGGTTGCTTATCATCCCTCTTCGTCATTCTGACCTGCATTCGAATGTCGTCTCGGCACGCAACCTATATCCAGAGGCTGTCATCAAATTATAATGTGTGTTCAGACTCACATAAGTGATCTTATTCCGCTTATCACACTTTGTGCTGCGAGTTGATTTTCTTTTTCGTCAAAGTTCCATTCAGTCCCGTGCTATAATTTTCCCTACCGGTCAACGATATTTTCGCGAAATTATGTCATTAAATTAATTATACCGCACCGCAGAAGTAAACAGATCATTTTCTTATCCCGCTAAATCTGAATAAAGCGATGATACACGTGATTTTTCAACATAATAAAATTAATGGTTTAAAACCATTAAAACAGGTTAAAAATGAAATTTATTGAAAGATAATTGCGTTATTAACTTATCCCTTATCCCGACTTATTTTGATTATCTCATTTGGCTCTCTGTATTTACGTAGAACAATTGTTTTCTCTTATTGGATACAGAATACTATTTGAACAAATGGAATTTTTATACCAATATCGACGGTATTTCCATTCCAGCGCGCGTTACGAATCCATACAAATGAACACCTATCGCAATACGAAAATTATATAGTAGTTTTCTCGTTCGCAGTTGTACAAACATTGTACGATGACGGCAGCGTGCACCCGCTATGGCTCCTGTGGCTGGCGGTAGCGCTCGGGATATTATTCCTCATCATGCTCATTATCAACATATTCCTATGTTCGGCAATGACCTGTAGCTGCACCCGGACCGACATTATCGAGAAGGAGCCGTCAATCATCGAGGATTACGATCCGTACCGCAGCTGGCACGGCTCTCAATACGGGTCGAGGTTTGACTTAATTATCTCCTCTACTAGCTATTCTCTCGCGTGACTCGCCGACAAAGTATCTCTCTTTTTCTTAATTGCATCAATAATATGTGATTACTCGTATATAACCGTATGTCATTTACACGGAGCACTTCAACACTTGAGCCCAAGTGGCTCGAATTGATAATTGATAAGCTAATATATTCCCATCAGATTAAAAGCGCGACGTTCGATTAATTCTTTCTTTTTTTTTTGCAACATGCAATTGAAGAATCTTTAGCTCATATATAAATTGCTGATCTGGCGAAAATAAAAAGTATCGGACTTTCTAAGTGAAATTACGCGCAGCACAGTCACGATAATGGCAATTAATATTACGGATTGCATGACGTATGCGATTGCGTGTCTGAACGAGACTCTTCTTATATTCAGGTATTCGTTAAACGGAAAGCAGGGATACGCCTCCGGAGGATCTACCATGAATTCTACGAGGTCGATATCGACGAATAGCGATCACTATGCAATAGTACATTCCCGGCCAGGAAGCAGATATTCTGGTCCTGGACAAAAACATCATCATCATCACAGAGGACCGCCGTCTAACATCGGTTCACACTATTCCGGGAAGTGACGTTTCCGTTAGCTTCATTTATCAAAAACTATAGAATTTCATTGTCTTCATTAATTTTACTTCGTTACTTTAAATAAACACGAATTTTACGCGCTGTTAGTGACATTATTCCAATCGCACGAATAACAAGGATTTGGTTTAAGCGTAAAATATCGCCGATATAATTTTAAAATCTTTTTTATATATCAGCACTTTCTTGATCGCATTATTTAAGAGATAGGTTTAAGTCGATGATCATCGTATTTGCTGTGCATTGAGACAAATATAATTAAAAAATTGTTACAACATATAAATAATCGGTTATTTAGAAATTTATATAATACATAATAGCTTGTCCATGATTAGCAATGCGTATAGATTTCGTGCACATAATACATCAAGAAAGTGTTAATATATAAAGTTCGATATCTAGTGTGAGATAAATGCTAATTTTCATCTTTTGCAACAATCTGAAATTTTCTGTCCATATGAAAAATAGAAAAAAAAAAATATATGATACCAATATATTTTTCCGTTTGCCTTACAAGAAAGTTTTTATTTTATCCTTTTGCACTTGTTAATAGTATCAACGACAATAAGCAATGCCTGATCGATTCGGTAAATGTGGATCAAGTATATTAATGAGATAAAATTTTCTATAGATAAGCGCGATATATAAAACTCCGCATCTAGACATCGGTATTTTTATGTTTAGCTTCATCATTCGTAAATCGATTCTCTCGTGTGCTAGACTGCGTATATGTATCATAATATATATAATAGTCATAAGCATAGGCATTAGCATTTATAAAACTGCGCAAAACATTGATCCTGATTAAGAAATATACTAGTTAAATGCTTTTTGTACATAAATCCATTAATCTAAAAACATATGTGCCTTTTATTTCTACCGGAAAACATCTTTGGAAATCCAAATCTCCAGGAATACTTTTCTACGAACATAGTCGAGAAGATAATAAGAACAGCATTAAAACTGAAAGCGTATCATATTAAAATTGAAAGCATAGTCTATTAAGATTAAAAGTTTTTTTCTAGAATGAGGAATTGACGCTTTTCACGCTTAGTTTATGATAATAATACAATCACACGATTTTTTTTTCAAACTTTGCTTATATCTTCATACATAGTGCTATTTTCATCCAATTATATTTTTTTTTATTGATGCATGTTTCAGTTCGCCGTAATAATGCATCACGCCATTAACTAATTTATTAGTTAGACCCGTGATTTTTTTCAGAAGACACAATCAACAATAGTATATATATATATATATATATACTTATAATTTCTGAGATGATATAAATCTTACGACAATAACAATGTATGCGTCAAATAAACGTCTCATTAAATAATCACCGTTACTGCGCTAATAATAATAATTTCTATTACGAAACGCGCACACGTCTTATTTCTTTCGCGTTCCTATTTTTCCAGAAATATTTCCTCCTTGCTTTCATATTTCATTACTTTCTTTTTTTTCTCTCTCTGATAATTTTCTAACTTACCTTTTTATCTTAAATGGGCAGATTATTACTATGCGGAAGTTATATCGCATCTTCTTTGCACAAAACATATTCATTACACCCATTTTGCAAAATATAAGTCGGACAACTATTATATAGAAGAAACTCAGAATCCTCTCTTGTGTGAAAATTGAGGAATGATTTGCTCTAAAGCTTTTTCCAAAGAGAAAAAAATTTTAATACGATAGAAATATTAAACGATAGATTGCTATTTTTTAAAACGGTTTATTATTAAAAATACATTTTTAGAATAAAATATACGAGAGAGTAGTCCGCGCAGACAGCAGTAGACTTATATGCATCTATACATGAGCATAACTCTTTATCTTTCTCTCTTCCTCTCTCTCTCTCTCTCTCTCCTTTACTATCTTTCGCTTTTTAAATACTCTATTTATATAAAATACGAAAAAATTAATTTTTTTGCTTATAAATGGTAACTGCCGGTAAATATAGAGGTTTAGTAAATGAGTAACTATACAGGGAAAAGAGACCTGATATTAATAGCTATAGGAAACTAGAAAAAAATCTTCAGTATTACAATATTTACAACACAATCAATATATCTGCTTGAAAAATTAATCAGAATGTAATGATAGACTATTTTTCTTCGCTGTAACGAGTGCACTGCTTTTAATAAGATGGACGATTTTCAAATTAAAAAGCCAAACTAGACAATAATAGGTGTGGGTATGCAAAAAGTACATTTCAGAATTTTATCATTACCAAAACTATTCTTGACAGAAAAGATTTTCGATGAAAACAATTAAAGAGAATTGTTTTGAAAAACGTATAGATTTTTATAAAATTCCATATACATATAAATTAATCGTATATATAATCGGTTAGCTATCTTTCAAAATTTGATTAGTAAACGATAGAAAGGTTAATATTATACTTTATACACAAGTGTGATGGAGCAAATATAGCGTCGACCAAACCAATTGTAGTATCACGCGGTATAAAAGACACAAATGTGTTTTCGAATAGTATATAACTAGTTATTTCTCATCGCTTTTTATAATAAAATCTCATAATATCTATTAAATATAATTATTATATTCTTTTCATAATTTTATAATTATTAAATTTACCGCGAAAGCGGCATATATCTCATTGTCAATGTTGTCAATTGACCTGATCATCTCTAATGTGTGTATAACAATACCAATATCATGATTATCTCCGAACTGAAGCTCTATTTGTAAGTACTGTGCACTTCTCATTGTGCCTGCGAATGACGAAGCATGATTGATCGTCGATGATGAAATCGTAACTCTCGCCGCTCATCATCGAGCCATTGAATTTCAGCGTCGCTCACAAGAAAAAGCGAGATTGACGTGTTCATGCTACAATTAATTAAACGGCAGATACGTTCTCCATTGTCTTTTCTGTAAATTATCTCTTACTAAGGATAACAAGGAGTATTAAAAACAGCGTATATTTGCTATCCCACAATCTATGTCCGTTCGAGTAGACCGATACTCTGTCAATTTCGGCTGCTTCGAATGAGAGTATTGAAGATATATCTTTGACTTGTCTCTCTCTCACATTTTCTAAATCGCGCTTCTTAATCCGAGGAAAGTTTTTCTCATTAAAGCGAAAAACGAACGGCCGACTCGAGAAAGCAGCGGACTTAAAAACGGACACGCTTCGCGCAATTCGATGGCTTAATGCAAGAAGATTGCAATTTAAAATAAAGTGCTAATAGGTTCTATATAAAAATCATATATATATATCTCCTCATATCTTAATTATTAACAATTTATGCTATGTTAAATATGATTCTACTATTTATTATTTTATAATGCTTTTAATTTTTTTTGCGTTACATTTTTCTTTTGTACTAAACCATCGAACCATGTTTGTTAGCGGATTTTTTTACGATTATGCTACTAAGTATTTCGGTGATTTCAAATATATCTAATGAAATGAATCAGAAATTTATCTACATATAAAGCACGATTATCTCGTATCTATATGTAGTGTGTCTGTTCTGTATATTAGTTTATGTATGTATGACTGAATGATTTAAGCGTTAATTGTGAGTTACGTATTAATAAAGAGTATTTTCCATTGAAAATGGAGGCACCATGAATAAACGTACAGCTATATTGTTGCGCCGTATGCATAGCGCGGTATTTTAATCATAAAGTGTCAGCCTGCACATGTGAATACTTTCAATAGATTAATTTTGGAGCGGACGCTGCGTTCAAAAGTTAACACAAAATAGAAGTGAGAAAATAAATAACGTTAATATAAGTTGATGTATGTGTATATTGTGCGAGAGAAGAACGATAATCGATTTATCAAGGACAGCATTTCGCTGACGCATTATCTTTAGATTGTCCATAAAATTTCAATAACCGCGACAATTTTATTTTAAGTTTTATCAATTTCATATAATTTTAGGCTGATGGCATGAAAACGAAATGCGCGAGCTGTTTACAAGCGCAAATTTAATCCCCTAACTAAGAAGCTATTTCAGGAGCCTGGATCTGTCGAGGGAAATTCGTTACCATTTTCAATCGCGATCACAACCGCCTGTTACCTCTCATCAAACTGTTATTATATCTCCTCCCTTTAAAAGAGACGAAGAAATGAAAAAGAAGCATCTGATGAAGAAGTCGCAAGGATGATTAAAGTGATAGACCGATCAGAGGAAGTAAAATCGAAAGAGATTAGCAGTTAGTGGAAAAAATTAAGCGCTATTAATTTAAATAAATATTATATCTCTTGTATCCATGCGAAACATTATTTTTATCTTCATAGATCATTCTTTTTGGAGCTTTTGGTAGCAGAACCTCCAATTAATTTTGTAAATCGCGGATTTTGCGATCGTACAGGTCCAGCCTGCTGGAAGGAGCCACTTACCTTTGTGATAATTTATCGATAATCGGACCGCCGTCATGGTTTTTCGGCGATCTCTTATATTCATTACTCCTGCATTAATATCTCTCGTTAAGTGTAGTGACTATTTCTACATTATTTACAGAGCGTTACAAATGTTAGTCAGTAACATTTGTACGTTTCCAACTGTAGATGCTTCACTCGCCACATCGGGATATGCGATCGCCGTTATATTTGCGGATATAGCATAAATATCCAATATTTCTAGGACATCGAAATGTACATTACATAATATATATATTTTATAACAAAACAAATTGTTGCGATCGAATTATACAACCACGAAATGTGAATATATCTGCGTTGTATAGGTATCACGGCAATGCAAGGATAACAAGGAATGTCGTGTAGCGCTCGTCGTTTCGCGATGCCCAGCAGGGCATCGATCACCTTTTGTTAACCCGTTGCCTCACTAACACCTTCAATGTATCTAACTCACCTTGCCATTTTCTTCGCTCTCAGTCGGATTACGTAAGGTAACGGGTCGACACCCTTTGAATTCCTTGCTCGCGATCGATCGCGATCGTCTCGAGCAGAGTACGTTCTCGAGAGTAAACCGACAAGGTGTTGCGTAGTTTAAAAAAAAAAAGAATATTACAGGCTCGCGCTACTTTACAGGAATATGCTACAAATATCGTATGGACTTTGGAGCGTCTCTCTCAGTGTTTCTGAGCTCGTCGCTCATCAATCAATCGCGCATCAGTGGAACGCGTTCAATGACAATGGCGGCGTGATGGGCGGCAAATGGTCACCACAGGTCGGGAAATTTGGCGGTATCGGCGGCAGATCCGCGTGCGTCCCAACGTGAAGGATCAGGTTCATGCCAATCAATATGTGGAACAAGAAATGACAGTGGAACAGCCAGTATCCTTTAAAGAAGGAGATATCGTCCAATATTAATATAATTTTCGCTTATAACTTCCAATGATAAAATTGAAAGTCGAAATAATAATGGTGTGTTTAATTAAATCACCATAAATTTAACAAAAGCACCGACTATTGATTTAATCGTTGGCAATATCGGGAAGATTATATTTACGTTTATTCGCAGAAAATTATTTCTAAAATCGGCCAGAAATATGCAATCAATATTAACTTGAACACTAAACTAACATTTTACGTACATAATATTTGTGGACACACAATACAGTTAGTGTATGCAAACTTTTGCGATTATGCGAACAGTTGCAAACGGAAGTAGTTCGTATCTCATCAGACTAATGCGCGAGAAGTTTTCAAGTTATCGTTGTTAACTTACCCGGGTTGTTCGCGCGGAAGCGGAAGATGACGTAACCATTGTTGGGAACGGCGATGGTGTCTTTGGCAGGTGGCAGGTTGAATTGTCTGTGCAAAAGACCTCGCTTATCGAGATCGAGGGCGTGCTTCAAATTGATCTTCTTTACATTCCTATCGGGAGAACGGCCGATGCCGACTATGTTGAACGCGTATCCGTGCAAGTGGAAGGGATGCGACAGATTGGGCTGTTGTACTGTAATCAATCGTGCACACAAAGAAATCAAAAGGATGCTTTTAATTTCAATAACGCGTGATAAAAATAAAATTATGTTGTAATAAAGAAAAATCTTATAGAATCAGAGAAGTAATAAAACAGATTAGATAAAAATAATAAGATTTGAAACTTTCATATTTCTTTTAATGCCATTTTTTTGAAGTGTATTTTTCTGCTTAATATGGAAGAGCTTTGCGTGACAAGAGCAAAATTACCACACATAACAAACATGGCGTACATACCTTCGTCTACGAGAACCACCTCGACGACCGCATTATGCGGAATGTCGACCTGATGCGTGCACATGCAATTGGCGCCGCAGTCAGCTGGTCTATTATCACCGTTGCAGAACTGTTCAGGTGGGATGTCATCGATCTGCGAGAGTGGCGGCGCCGGAGGAAACGTGAATGAGATCTCATCCACGAGCGAAATCACATGGTCGCCAGTCGGCGCAACTGCGGACACAATCGAGATAATATACAATAAATTTTTGATATAACTTTCGTATAAATATGTAAATGATAATAATGAATGATTAACTCCAATAATGATTAATTCCGTTAACCCTTGAGTGAATGGAATTCGCAAAAAATTTCGCGAAATCGAATTTTCGTTAAAGAAACTTCAACTCCAAACTAAAAATCAAAGAATGTGTGATTGAAAGATGCGACGATAATTTCAGAACATTTTATACGCTTCGATAGTACAACCGGTTTGTATCTTTCCATACTATCGAATCTAATTGTCCCGAGGAAAAAGTACCACCACTTATAACAAATATACCCCGCGAAGTATCTCGCGTATAATTCTTGAAGTTTCAAGAATCGTCCAAGATGTTGCATGCAGCACAACGTGCGCCTGGATATTATATCCCTTTTTAAGCATACCTTCCTGAGAATACCTGGAAGGCCGTGTTTATGTCAAACGAAAATGAAACGCAATCATCGCGTGGTATGTTTGTTTCTTTTTTGCAAATTAAATCAGCTATTAGCGCGTCCTTACCGAGGAAGCGATTGTAGGTCTGTGGCTGGAAGACCTCCTCGGGTCTGTAGAACAGGAAGCGGAACGGCAAGAAGATCTTCACGTCGGGGCGTTGCTGGAGGATACCCTGATCGATGTGTCGGGCGTTTTTCAACTGATTCACGCAAATTGCATCCTCACGCGGTCGGTTGCAAATAGCATCCAAGGGATTCAGAACCTGAAGAAAAGAACATTTGGTCTTGACCGTTCTGTGCGACAACAAAATCGAGTCTTTATTATTTTAAGGAACATTCTTGAATTTAATATAGTCGAGAACTCCGTTAATCTTACGTGGGTTACATATTACATACAACGTATTAATTGCTTTTTCACTTGAAATATTATGCATGAAAGAAAGCATTTTTATTTGTAACATGAAAGCATATTACTCCATTGTATTTATTTTATGATATAGTTGCATTAATCCTTTTAAAAATTTTTTGAATTAAAATTCACAACATTCGGTCATTTTTCCAAATCAAAATGATTTGATAAGAAATAGAGAGAGAGAGAGAGAGAGAGAGAGAGAGAGAGAGAAGCAGAAAAAAATAATTTCTTGAAAGGTTTTTATCATAAGAAATTTTTTTTTTTTTCTAATGTAAACATCTTTTTCCTGCAGCTGAGATTATAAGAGAATCTCTATTCTATCGATTGCAGATAACACGCACATTTTTTTCCGCTGTTACATGTTCATATAAATATTATATAGTCAAATTAAAAGCGATATTTTATATTCCATTGAATTATACAGATAATAATTTAAATATATAATTATAATTTATTTTTTCATTACTATGTATCCATATGAATTCCTTTTGTCTCAAGTATTCGAACAGATGGCAGTGTATATACTAATAAGATTTTATAAGATCCCAAAAATTTATAAGACCCTAAACTTGAATGTTTGTTAATAGACTGAGTTAATAGAATCTCGCCTTTAGCTTCAAGCTTAAAAAAATATGTGACATGCAACAACTAGTAATCTTTGAGAAGTGGAAATATGCTTACGACGCCCTGTGGAAGACCGAAATCATATGTAGGCGGTGTAGTAGTCGGTTGATAAGGACCACGAGCGTATCGCAGAATAGCCAGCTGCTGGGCGCGTGGAATTCCGCATTCTCCGAGCGAACGAAGTTGAATCCAATAAGCGCCGATAGGCTGATCGGCATTTATGACGAAATCGTAACGTTCACCTTCAGAAAATGTAAAAATGTTTGATATAAAATTAATGGAATCAATTTTTGATTGGTTTCGTGAAAGATACGTTATCAAGACATTCATTATGTCCAATATTATGCAAATAATCTTCTTTGATAGCAGTCTTTAAATCAATCATTTAAGTGAATCAATTATTTGACAAATAACGATTTAATTTCTTTATTCATAACTTGTGCATCTATAATATATCAAAAAATATTTCGTTAAATTTTCGTAAACTTTTTATTCGTACAATTTGAATATCATAAAATTTTTCATTTGTTCAATCATTATTTTTTTTATTTGCCTTGTTTCTTAAATGATTAATTTAATTACCTTTGATAAAACATTTAGAATCAATGGAATAAATCGCTTTACCTGAAAATGAAATTATAGTGTTCACTTGTATTGGCTGAACTGCTTCACCATCGGTGGCGATGACGGTGAGAGTGTGACCCTCGACTGTAATTTGAGCGGGGCATACTGATCCGTATGAATTAATCATTCGGAATCGATAACGACGGCCCGAAGTTATCGTGAACACTTCAAGTGGCGTGTTTGTCATGAAACCGGTGTTAGGATCCTGCATTAAAAAATATACACGATATGTCAGAAAATAAAAAAATTATTATAACATAATTATTTTCTTCTGCAATAATAAATAAAATTTATCGAAAATTTTGCAATTTTCTTTACACGGATTTATACAGATCGCTCTAAATTTTTACTAATTTTTTAAATTTTTATACAGAGAAATCTGAATCTATAAAAAAAATTCCTAACGTAAATTGAAGCTGATACTTATCTAATAACATTAGATAATATATATCTTTCTCATCTCTGTTAAAAATCAATTAATATCCAAAGTGACATACCCTAAATTGACCTTTCCCATTGATCAGCACGCTTTCAGGTGCTTGACCGGTATTGACTGCAAGACGACCCGGAAAACGCTCGGTACCACTCTCGTGGAACCAATCACTGATAAGCATCACGTGCGTGGTTAAATCGTAATCGTACAGATTGCTATTAGGATCCTTGCTTGGCGGTTGTCGGATTACTACGCTCCCATAGAGACCATCTATCTTTTGCATGCCAGTATGAGCATGCCAGAAATGTGTACCCTCATTGCCGGCTGTCCATTGATATCTTCAAATATCGTACAATCATTTCATTTTATAAATCTCGCAAAACCGTTATATAAATATTACAATATATTAATTTATTATTTGTAAAACAACATCATTTTTTTTGGAAGGCTTAAATTTTGAAAAATATCTTGACAAAACTGTTTTGCACTTCTACTTTATTCCTCGAGTGTCATCGATTAATAACAAAGCCGTAATACGTAAACATTAGCACGCTATTGTTTACGCCCTCAAGGCTGAATATCATAGTAGTTATAATTCGCTGCCAAAATATTTTACGTACTATGATATATATATACACGGAATATTATATATAAAAGTAGTTTAAATTATAAATAAATTAATTATTTGTTAAACGATAGATATCACGGAAAACTTTCATTATATTAATTACTTGGTCCTGTGATTCGATTGCGCGTTCTCAATTTGAATTGTATTTAAATAATTAAAAAGTGTAGTACGATAAAGTATCGGACGAAATATTTCTATCTCTAAGTATCGTCGGGAGAGAGTTACGTATTATTTAACATATATAATATAAAAGATAATTAATCATTAATCATATTAATTTATCACTGCTCACATTCCCGATAATTCGCGATTTATTAATTATTTATAGCAAATTATTTCGCGATACTTTTCGCGATCGCGTTGAAAAAAGGAATTTGACGGAGCGTCTCGCACCACTACCTTTGTGTTCGAGTGTCGCCGCGCGAATGATAACAATGCCGAGGCATGTAAACATTAGCGCGATTGTATACTCCACCAAAGCCGAATACCATGTTATTGATAATCACTCTCTAAAAAAAAAGAGAGAGAGAGAGAGAGAGAAGAAAAATATTATGGATAATTCATTGTCGAAATATTTTACGTAAAATATTCCGATAATCCGTTATTACATTCCATTACAAGTTTCACAGATAAAAATTTTATTATTCTAATTATATGAAAAAAGTAAGAGATCTCTTCTCTACGCATACCTAAACGTATTACCCTCTTGAATGGGACATTGTGTTACGTAAGGTACACCGTCGTAATATTGAGATCCTCTTTGCCATACTCCATGCCAGTGAATTGTGACTTCCATTCCTTCTATATGATTTTCCACGTCGATAACAACTTTGTCACCCTGGCATACCTGAATACTCGGGCCAGGGATCATTCTGTTCGCGGTCAAAATACCCCTCTCTACTCCGTCCGCCAGGACACACTGACAATCGCTCCATACGGAATTGGTTGCATTCGGTGTGCATACTTGACACGCTCTAGAAATTTATATAACTAACTTGCAACAACACTAACCACTTAAGTAATTCATATATTTTAAAAGAATATTATATTTTTCGAAAAAGTTAATTTTTCAATTAAAAAAATATGCTCATGAAAAAATAATCACTTTATTATTTTGTAAATTATAGAAAAATTATAATTTCTGCTATTTGTTATTTCTCTTTTGCAATTTCCAACGTTATAAAATTTAAATCAATTCAAGATATTTTGTAGTGATGTACTTACGCTCCGAGTACGGTATAATACTCGAGTGTGAAGTGATAATAGCATATCCTGGGCGGCTCGCTCTCGCGGCAAGCACGAGCGCACTCGTCCGGTGCCGAGAGCGATGGATTTCGGCGCAATTCGGCGGTAGAGCGCTCATTATAATCAAGAGGCCGCGTCCGCGGCGGCCTTATCGTTACCCCTCGACTGCCGAGGTTGTCGATCCCGCCGAAACCGCTCCGAAACGCACCACCAGTCGGATGGGTTTGCACCAAGCCGTGGGCCGTGGGGAAGAAAGTTGCGCTATCGGTTTGAGAGAAGATGTCGGTTTTGAGAGTAGGACTCCAGAATGAAGACGATGCCGACTGATCTGCTGCTGTCGATTGATCTGAAATTCCATTTATTTTTTTTTTTTAGATATGGTTTTTTATATTTAAAATATATCTTACAAGTTACGATATTGTAAAATTGAAGAGAAGTAAACAAAAATGTCAAAAAAAATTAATTATTAATATTTTTCGAATATTTTATTAATGTATTACAGATTAATTATTTGCAAAAGAAAAAGAGAAAAGCCAGGACTAGCCATACTATTCTTAAATAATTTTGTTTAATAAATTCATGCAAAGCAATTAGTTATTCGTATGCTTTGTTATAATTAACTTAATTATAACAAAAAATAATTTTCCAGAATAAGAGCTTAAAGAAGAAGCAACAGAAGATAAAACTTGTATTTAGGCATTTAATTTTGTTTTTATAATATGTTGAATTTCCAAATACTGAAATGGTTAATAAATTCCTTATTACTATTGAATTTTGTAGGATTGTTGTACGATATACGATATCGTTCCTTTATCGTAAGCTATGAGCAGTTTCGTAATCGTATCATTGCGAGTGTTCTTTTTCTGTTTCTATTTTAGTATCAATTAGCCCTGTAAATACACGGAAGAAACAGGAAAAGTTAAAGTTTTAGCTCGTTACATATATAGCAATCACGTTCGATACGATTTCAATTTCAATCAATTCATGAAAAGCGTAACGATATTAGAACTATCGAGGTCTCGAGTCGAATGTTTCCAGAATATCTCAAGTCTAAGAGTCTGCTTAGCCTTGCAATTGCAGTTTGTAGTTGCGCAATATTTATAAATTCATGATCGATCGGTTGCAGCTTTGAAAATTACTTTGGCACATTATCGTTCGCGGAGAGAGAGCGAGAAGTGTTATACAATATTTTCGAATAAAGAGCTGAAATTTTTCCGATAGTCACACAAATGAAAGAGCAGGCTTAATAAGCACATTTGAATACCAATCGTGAAAGTATCGATAAAGATCTGTTTGTTGCGCGAGTATAATTGGCACTCTTGTTTACAAAAAAAATTAATTAAGGAATTGTGATCAATTTCAATCAGTTTCTTCTTGACAATAATTTGCCACTTCAAAACAATCAGATTCACTTCGTTTACACGGGATTCCTTGATATATATCGAAGAAAAAAAGGAAAAACTATACGCGCACTGTAGTCACATTTGAAGTTAGCAATAGCATGCCGCAATAGAATGCATTATTAGTAAAGATCAGCCATTGTGTTGTCTATGATTTATCTTACAATATTTCAAGTATGACGTCTAAATATTTCATGCTTCAATCGGAACATTTATTCGAGTAAGTATGTAATAAAGAACAATGTAATATTCTACTTACAATAGAAGATTTAAAATCATGTTATACGCTTTTTATTATTCTAATATCCTGAAAAGCTTTTTTGAATCGTTTTTTTTTTTTTATTTTCATATTGTCTCCTTAAGATTATAAAATAATCGCAGAGAATTTCTGCAATATCAGTAATTTTGAGTTTATTTGTGTATTTTATAATATGTAGTATTGTTTCAATCGAATGTAAAAGTAAATCTCTTTCTCAAGGATTAGATAATTTAAAGAAATTTGAATATAATATTTTTCTATTAAACTCGGGACTATTTATGAATCTTGATTAACATTAAAAAAAAGAAAAAACAATATCTTAAATATCCATATATATTCAATAAATTATATAATATTTTTTCGATAGACAATGCAATTATATTCCGCATTATCGGTGTTTCCAATGATAAACCACTTTGAATTGTTTCATTATGATTTATTCTACCATCTCGCGTGGATGACTTAACGCATTCTGATCTGCAGTCGTTCGCATTTCGAATACCATGAGATTGTATAGAAGCAGACGGAGAATTCTCGTTAATTTTTTTTTTTATCGGAATCGTTACATGTTACACGGCGTGTGACGTAATAAACGCATACATTGAAATACGAATTCCTGCATTGTCTGATCGAGTCGAGTCGGCGTTGATCTGGTGGATATCGAAGCTGGTACGACGTTTTCCAATGTAATGTACGAGAAATACCATTTCGACTATCGAATGATTTATATCCCAATGAAAGTTGCGATGCCGGTTCTGTGCAAAATTTTTACGTCCGTCGACAACGATTTATTGTGCTATTATTTAGCTGCGAGAAATATGCCGATTCAAATAAGAATTTTTTAACCGACAAGCTATCGAATTAGGCGAATCGACGCGATTTATCACATATAATCGGGGACATTATTTACTAATTAATGCACGGTTCGATATTTACTATTTATAGTTAATATTCTTCATTACATGCTTAAATTTAAAAAACTTATTTTAGAATTACTCTATTTTGTCTTTTCCAAAAGGATAAAGTACATAATATATGATATTTAATATTTTATTTTATTAATCATAATATATAAAATTTATAATTTAATATTAAAATATCAAATATACATTATATATGTCATGACCATAAATGTTATATTAAATTTTAATTAATGAATGTAACGAAAAATGTATCAAGTTTCTTAATATAATAGAGACTCTAAGCCGAAAAGTTAGCGAATCTAGAATATCCACTTTGTATATCCGTGTAAGAACTGTCACGCGATTACTCGGAGTGACGATGACAATGAGACGATGAGGCAACGTTAAGCTAGCTCGGTCACATTATTTAGAGCGAGTGCATAACGCGGGCGTGTAATGACTCGTCCTCGCACGGCTCCGGTCGTTCATTACACCAGGCGGGATGGGTGACGCTGTCGTAAGCGTAAAGTCGTAAGCGCGGTTGTGCAAAAAAAAAAAAAAAAAAAACAGAAAAAAAACAATGAATTAAGTAAGGCAAAATCGCGCTTTCACGGTACCTCCTTTTTCGCGCGGCAATTAACTCGTCACACTTCCATTTTCACGCCCGTACCGCCGATTGTTCGACCGATTTCCGTGGCACGAGGTACGACCGAGGCTTTCGCCGATTATCCCCAGTCGTTGTTGATAAAACAAGCGTCTCTCGCGCACCAATTATATTTTTTATACTTTTATATATTCATACTTATATAATATACTATCATATTAGGAAAACAATGTGGCGATTATAAGCGAGAACACCATTTTGATCTATTGTATTTATAAATTACAGATTCTCTGGCGAAGTATATTCGTTACGTGAAGCAGAACGAACATGTCGATGTTTCTATTACGAATACTTCGAGTTACGCCACAAAGAACGCACTTTCAAAGAATTAATTATGTCGATTTTACTATGACTCGTGAATTCTTGTGAGAGCGCTGGTCATTTAGTCTATGACATCGAATTTGTGTAATTGCATAAACATAGAAACGTTATTCGAGATTTAAAAATTAAAATGGTCCCTTTAATATCCGAATAGATGCTACAGCACGTTTCCGGTTGATTTTTATACATTTCTGTAACTTTCTTTAATCATTACACATCTCTCTCTCTCTCTCTCTCTCTCTCTCTCTCTCTCTTTCACACACATGTCGACATCTACATAATAATGTACATTTTGATAGCAGGTCTGTGATTAAGTTCACGCCTGCAGGGGGACCCTTCACAGACGTCAGTCACTCTCTCTCTCTCTCTCTCTCTCTCTCTCTTTCACACACATGTCGACATCTACATAATAATGTACATTTTGATAGCAGGTCTGTGATTAAGTTCACGCCTGCAGGGGGACCCTTCACAGACGTCAGTCACCCGCCCCATTAATTATCCTGATGTCTTACTTGACTGGACGGAAACGGCTTTCAACCAACTCAATTTAACACTTTTCACGGTTCGGAACGATTTCCTTTCTTTTTGTTCATTTTTTGGGTCGCTTCTCGCATCTGGATAAAGCCGGATCAAAACTTTCCAGTGTCAGAAAAGAGACGATACGTTTGAAAGATTCATAAATAATTTTGTGGAAAGATTTGCGATCATCGTGAAAAAACGAGATAAGGTAAAAGATCGCAAAGTTATGTAAAATGTCACTAGTCCAATATCTCGTTGGCTTATATATTCCTCGCGGCGATAGCGGTTTATCTGCTACAGATGCGGATGCATCATCGCCTGCTAAGAAATCAGGAGCGACGGTCGAGGTGAACATAACTAATACTACCGGCAGTTAATGTAATTAAATGTCAAACACGTCACGTAAGATGCACTACGATATCGCAATGACTAAAAAGCGCACATATCGGGTGTCCGCAGTTTTCGGCAAAAGAAATGCGAACAAGATTAATAAGATTCTTAATATATAAAGTTCTGGATAAAATTTCGTCACTTTCAAGATGATTTTTTTAACGAGCTAATTTCTTAAGCTTGATCCTACGATCTAAAAATTAAGAAACGTAAAAACATTTACGAATGGATAATGAAACGCGCGAGGAAGTGAGAGCAGAATTTGCACGAAGTTGCGTGATAAAAATCCGCTTTCGTTTTGAACAGTTAAGCGCTCGCGTGCCAAATCGTGAAAGACAAGGATCTACGTCAATAATCTCATATTTACGGAAATATTGATTCGATGTATAACAGCGAAAGTGTGAAATAATCAACATTCCTGCGCGAAAAAGCAACATATTTACTTCCGACGATTGCGTTTACGAGTCACGAAACGAAAAATGTGAGAAAAATCTCAGTATTATTTATCCTGCGTGTTTCAGAAGAGGATCATATTTTCTTCTCACCATGTATGCACGTTATTGATATTTACCGTGGGAGTCGCTAGACCGAGATTGCGACTCGTCTCGTGAAAGTTCAAATAAAATGCCAGTCGTGGTTCATGATGCGACGGTATCGAATACGTTTAATGTCGCATCTTAATCCTCCGTCTTCGTTTCCTGAGCAGGAACTTCGAGAAGATATACAGACGTAATTCAATTAATTTGCGCTATTTTATTTAAGAAAATTAATCTAAATTTATATTCACATATTTTTTATAATCTATAAATGATTATATGATATAATTATCTGCTATATAAATTTAATAACGCGTATATAACATTAAAAAATTTCTGATTATATAAATATACT